CACGCTGGCACTCTGCGCCTCTCACTCCCAGCCTCATCCTTGTCGCTCCTGAGCAGAGCCAGGCAGCCGTTCGCTCCAACCCGCCCTGCCAACAGGTGCCCCAGCACAGCCCAGAAACTCCCCGGGACAAGAGTCCTGCCAGATTCTAGATGCCCAGAGGGACCCAAACTATCACAGTTCAAGAACACACAACCCTGGGCGAGGAGCACTCGAGAAACCTTTGCCTCCAGAACCTGCCTCGCTGGGCGGGAGAACACCACTGCTGTGCTCACCCCTCTCCAAACCTTCTCTTCTTCCCCGGAAAGCCATCCAGGTTCGTCAAAGTTCTGCACCCAGCCTTTCCCAGGGAACAGGACCACCCAATACTGCAGCATGAGGAAGCGTCTGGGCACGCTGAATTCCCAACACAAATTGGGGCCGACGCCTCGTCAGCCTTCAGCTCTCGCGGTCACGCAAAGCTGACCCCAGCGTGAGAAGCCCCTGCCAGTGCCAGGGCCAAGAACCACCTCCTCCCTCCTTTACCTTCAGAGCCAAGGTACGCTCATAAGAAAGCAAGAAGCTCCTGTCTCTGTCCTGTGTACCTCTTCCCCTCAGGCTTTAGCTCAGAGGGCTACCACACTGCCCAACGAATTAATCTGCTCAGGTACTGCTCGACAGACCCAGCTGTGCCTCGAGCAGTCAGAAACCACGCACCCGCCTGAACCTCCCTCAGCGAGGCAAGCGCTCCTGCGCGAGCGCAGTCTACAAACACTCTGCACCTTTCGACTCTTCAGCGCCAAACAGTCAGCAACAATTTTGTTTGCTACTGCTTTGCTCAATGTAAGAGGCAGTCCTGTACAGTTAGAGCCAAGAACTAGACGCACAAGTCAGCAAATACGAATTTATGCTCCTATAGCAGCTGTGGCGCAGGCTCCCCGCAATGCACCTATCACCCATTAGAGGTGAACGGGGTCAACATTCCCCAGGACACCGGCAGAGACGTTCCCAAAGCCTCCAGCCTGCCAGGAAGCAGGCTATTTATACCCAGAGGACAATGCTCCTTCCAGCGAGACGTCTGCTACAACCTGAGACGGTGTGGAAAGGGTCACTTTGCCAGCCAAGGAAGGTGGCTGCAGTGAAGCAGGCTCACACAGACAGCACACAAGCAACTGCTTCATAAAATCAATCCTTCTGTCTTCCCCGTACTGCTCTATTTCTTTGCTCTGCTCCTGTATGGCAAACGCGCCTCCTGGGAAAAGGGGAGAAGGAAGGGAACGGCTGGGGAGACCAAAAGCGTCACCCCTGTACCGTGCTGGTGAGCACAAGGAGCCCAGGCCAGGTACAGTCACCAGGAGCACAGAAATCCCTTTGCCTTGTGGCACTGAGGGATTTCCCCCTGCCTGGCAGCCTGCAAGCTTCCTCCGTTACCACAGAGCTGAAATAAAATGAACAAGGCAAGGCATGTGCTGCGTCAGGGACGAGAGCTCCCTGGGGCAGGCGGGGAGTCGGGAGGGCTGCTTGCACAGTCCAGACCCGGCAGAGGCGGCGGCTCCTTCCTGCCTTTGCACTGTGACTTCTGCTAAAGCTGAGAGGGGGGCGAGAGAGCTGCCAACAGGTGAGAGAAGAGGCCGGTCCCAGTCCCTGACAACAGCAATTTAACTTTTCTTGAACTTTTAGGAGTCAAACACCTTTGCCTGGAAAAATCCACCCTCCTTGTGCAGAAGCCTCCCACAACGGCACTCAAACCTGTGACAGGACCGTCCCCAAAAGCACCTGGTGACCCCACCTCTTCCTCGTCCCTCTTCCCCGGGGGATCGAAACGAGGCTCAGCAACACACAAGCCAGTCAGCAGAATGGGAAGAAGGAGGCAGAGACCAGCTGCAGGCTGTTTTCTGGGTCCCGCCTGAAGGATCAGACGGGGCTATCTGGCCGCTCACAGAGAGGACACCCAGAGAACTGGCACCAAGACAGGGACCAGACTTGGCCTAACTCTCCAGACTGCTGATCACTCAGCTTTTGATAGCTTCCTGAAGAAAGATCACACTGAAAAGTGCCAAACGTGATGACTGCAACGAAGAAAATGCAGCCTCAACACATTTCCCCAGAGCTCAAAAGGCCTGAACTCAGCACAAGCGCAGCCAATTATCTCCTCAGCTCAGCGGCAGCACCGGGAGCTGACAGCACCGCGCATGATTCAACGCGGGCCCCATTCTCCACATTCCTGATCCAAGAACCGTGCCACGAGCCCCGTGTAAACACGGTGACGTCACCCGTTCCAGTGCAGGCTGGCCCAGGGACGGGCGAGAGGCCCACCCGTAGGGACGGCGAGGCAGAGGAGGGTCTGGGGTCCCCAAGGGGCTCCACAGCAGCGGGCGGGTGAGCCTGGTTTGCTGGCGATGGTCAGGCACGCCACAGGAGAACTCTCTCTCCCGGTGTGGGTTTCGTACTGTTTATTTGCTTTCTCGAGGATTAGCTCACGCAACCCTCGCAGGAATCCAAACAAATCGGATGGCTCCCCCAGCTACGCACGAAG